AAGTTTTGGTTCCAGAGTAGGGAAGGCTTATATCAGGAAGCACGACAATGGTACCATTGAACTGGAAGCTAAGACTTCCCCCTGGTCATTTTGGTCTCCTCATGTCTCTGAGGAAACAAGTTAAAAAGGGAGTCACAGTGTTGTTAGGGGTGATTGACCCAGACTACCAAGTGGAGGTTGGACTACTTCACAATGGAGGAAAGGAAAAATATATATGGAGTGCAGGAGATTCCCTAGGGCGCCTTTTAGTATTACCATGCCCTGTCATTAAGGTTAGTGGAAAATTACAGCAACCTAATCCAGACAAAGTGACAAGTGGTCCAGAACCTTCAGGAATGAAGGTATGGGTCACTCCACCGGGGAAAGAACTGAGACCTGCTGAGGTGCTTGCTGAAGGCCAAGGAAATACAGAATGGGTAGTGAAAGAAGGAAATTCTAAATGCCAGCTACGTCCCCCGTGATCAGTTACAGAAAAGAGGATTATGATTACTATTTCTCCCCAAATACAGTTTCAATGTAACATAATGTTAGACGTAATACTATCTTTTGGGAATTGTTAAACTTGTGATACAATGTTAAGCTTATGAACTGATAGGAGTAAGCATCAACCAAAGAAAAGTTACATTGTGTATTTTGGTAGGGGAATTATTGTGTTTCCATTTGTACGAAGGACAGTTATAAAGGACAGTTATAACATGTTAGGCGCAATTATATGCATGTTTGTGTATCTGGAACTAGTTTAAAGAAATGTGTCTGGTTGCCAAGTTGACAAGGGGTGGATTCTAGTGGTTGATTTATTGTGTCAACTTGAGACAGTTAGAAGCTAACTAAATGGGTTTATCGATTCTACACCCAAGGATGTAGAAGAAGACCCACCCTAGGGTGGGTTATCACCTCGAGGTATAAAAGGGGAGGAGAAAGGACAAATCCTTGCCATTCTTGGGAGAAGCTCCAGTCTTCACCTTTGGTTTTAGACCTCGCCTCCTGGCTTCCAGTATAGACTCTTTAGCTTCCCAGCATAGACTCTTCAGCCTTTCATCACAGAGCCTTCGGCCTTCTGTCGCAGACCCATCAGCCTGCTGGTGTGGACTTGCACAAGACACTAGGGTGAACTCCAGATCTTGGATTGAATCCTTCGGCCTCCAGTGTATAGACACCCTCTGCACACTTCCTCATCGGATTCTGTGACTATCGTAATCCAATCTTGTTGTTTCTGTATATCCCAGGTTATATCTGTTCTCTGTAGTAAAACCCTGACCAATACACTTACCAATTCCAATAATACAAGGGAAGAAGAGAATAGGTAGTCATTAAAAAGATTTCTTGGGAAGGAAAAGTAAGTGCCAGAGAAGAAGCATAACAAATGTCCAGCAACTTCAATTCCATGAAGCACCAAGGGTTTTGGCCTGGATTTTGTGTAAATAACATGCTTCTCTACTTCAGTGATTCTGAATTGCAATTTTAAAAATGCAAAATAATATTTTACTTTTTGGTGTATTTGTATCAGGAATCAAACTCAGGACCTTGTGGTTTGCTAAGCACACTTAGGCCGTTGAGCTATTTCCCTGGCTTTTTTTTTTCAGAATAGTATTTCACTTGTTTTTGTGGAGGTAACATCTCCATACTCTTCCTTCTTTGTTTTAAAAATTAGATCTTAAAGATCCCATCAATTTTTTTACTACTTGACAGGTGGGTTATTAGGTATATATGAGATGTGTTTAACATGCCACAGTTGAAAGAAAATCCAAAGAGAATTGGAAATATAGGCAGAGTTGCTATCAATCTTAATTTGTGAAGGCAGTCCCATAACAGAAAACCTTGAGAGTAAATGACATTTAATGTGTTTTACAGTTCTGTCTCAATGTAAAGGTATAGATTTCAAAGTAAGCATGTTCTATAGATATATTTGTGTTTAACAAAATGGTTATAATGAGTCTGTTTATCAAGCCACATTTTAAACCACAAAAACTGACATCTATATAAGGACCAGACTGTGTCTGTTTCTGTCAATCAAGGCAAGTGGTAACAATTTTATAGACCTGTTTATGTGTAATATTAAGAGCATGAATGTGTGCTTTTAGCACCTTAGCGAAAAAATTGATGTGCAGCCAGAACCTGTTCTAAAGAGATAGGATGCTTAACCAGAGTGTTAGCATGGGTGTTGGGCTAGCTGGCCCCCTAGGGAGCCAAGAAGATTAGAAAGAGAGTGAACATGAGTAACAGAGAAAGGTGCAGTGTGGGGTCTGATCAATTATTGCAGGTGTCTAAACCTGTGGGACAGAATTTTATCATTAGTATCATGAATAAGAACGGTTTCATTAACCTGTAGGGTTTTCACAACATAAGTCCAATCAGCAGCAATATTGAGGGGTTGTTTAGGGAATTTTTTCATGTTTTCAATCATGGTTGTCTTAGAAATTGAATCTCTGTATACCATTAGCAGATAAGAAGTAAAAAGCTTCATAGAGGGGAGGGGTATAACTTAGTGTCACAGCACCAGCCTGGCAAGCATGAGGTCCTGAATTTGATTTCTGGTATTTCCCCACAAATAATAAAAACCTTTATAGAGAAAACTTGAGATCAAGGGAAACATAATGCATTAACATAGCAATCATGATACTATCATATTAAGTGACATGAAAATTTTCAGTGAAATCTGTTGTTTGGTAATAGACTATCACCTAAGTAGAATGAATTTTATGTGACATTGTTTGGATTGTACAGTGTGGGAGCGTTGTTGTATTGATAGGCTGACTTAAGCCTTGAAGAAGTACTTAAATCTTTTGGTTGGCTTGCCTATGTTGAATTGGCATATATATTTTATCACTAATGGCTGTAACACATGTGAGTGATATTTGAGTTGAAAACTTTATTATCATGAATATTTTTAGTCTAGAAGTCACCAATATGATGAGATGGTTTTAGTTTTGTATTTCAAAGACTTGTAGATCTGGGAAATATATGTATGTTTAACACATGATAAGGCCAGCAATAATGGATGTTAAAAACTAGGTTGGAACTTCTGGAAAAGCCAGTTTGTCTTTGTTGAGTTATTGACCAATTTGGTGTCTCTGCTTGGCATCCAGAAAATATCATGTTAAATGTTAATCTCAAAAATGAAAGTTACAACATTTGTCTGAAAGCATCAGTTAAATTACAAAGGAGAGTTGAGACATAGGGAAGAGGAAAAAGTGAAAGTCAAGGACATAGCCTCCTAATCTTTGCACATCAAGGAGCTTTCAGAGGAAATAGTTTGTGCTCAGTAAAATCAACAAGCAAACATACATATTTCATAACATTCTGCATCCCCTACAAACATTTTTGACATGCTTGACCCTTTGAGTTTTGTCACTATCAAAAAAAAAACCCCTTGTAATACAAAATCCTCTCCCTACAAAACTATGTATTTTTCTCTCTGTCTCACTTACTATAACTTCTATCAAAACAAAGTTGGCTGCTGTGACTTAGAATTTAAAATGTTTAAAATTTAAAATGTTACATTGCATCTGACTGGCTGCAACAAGCCTTTCAAGCAATCTTGAATAGTAAAAGTTATCTTACTTCTAGAAGAAAGCAGAAAAAACACATTTTCCTAGGACATAGAATGTCTGTTATTTTGGATTGTTCCTTCTGACATTTTTTCTTTAATCTCCTCCATTGAAGGTTTTATGCACACTCTGAAAGCAGCTTTGCTATACATTTGAGAGACAGTATTTATAGCCTAATTATTTATTTTAGCTCATGAGTGAGGTTATTTGGTCACCACAAGTGTCTGTATAATTTTCCCTTGCATCAGTTTCTCTGTTCGTAAAATAACAGTCTCAGTCTCAACTGTTCTGTGGTTTCTAGGTAGACAAAGTTATCCAGGTTTAGTGAGCCACCTGAAAATGGAGTGGGTTGCATCTTCCTCCTTCCCAGGAAGGAAGACCCATTATACCCAGGCACAGAATTTCCCAGGTGAGCCCTCAATTATGAAAGACTTAATTTACTTGTTTAGATCTGGATTGGACTCCAGGGGCAGCCAAAACATGGCTATAAGTTGATACTCTTGTAATAGTGAATTGCTGAGTTCCAACAAAGCAGGTACAGTTATTTCAAAGTTACTAACACAGATTAGATTGAACATACAGTGAACAAATGTGCAAAGCATTTTTCTGATAGATGTATTTTATTGGCTTGAGTTTTGTTGCATCTAGACCACTTTTCTTTTTTCCTTTATTTTTAATTTTATTTTATGCTTTTAAAATTTTCATTTTACAGTCAGATATTTTAAACAGACATTGTAAATGTCACTTACATTGTTTTTCTCCTTAAAGTTTGACCCATGTCATAATCAAAGCAGGAGAAATGAAAGTAAAAGATCAAAATGGGAAATTGTCTCCATTCACTAAGCAGTTGAAGAGCTGAATAACCCCTAAGTAATCCTATGATAGTATGAAAGCAAAAGATAAGAGAAACAAACATGTAAAGAAGCACTGGTCCCCACTCACTTAGCACTGGACAGTTAAAAGACACTTGATAACATGCCTATCCAATTTAGGCAAGCTTAACAGAGGCTGTGGAAATCCACTAACCAAAGCAAATCTTTTCCAAAAATAACTTGCTTTTATTTCTGCTGATGCCCTGCAGATTTGGTCGAAACTTAACTCATTCATTATAGAAGTCCTGAACTGTTGGCCAGAAGATCCCTTCATCTTTCTCACTCACTTCAAATCCTCCTTTGACCTTTTCTCCCCACAAGTTAATCAATCTGTTTATTCCATTGGAAAATATTACCCTTGAGGTGCACAGATTCAACAACAAATAATTAATACAAATGAATAGCAAATAATTAATCAAAAGGCTCAATTGTGTTTAGGGGAGAATAGCCAGTTGTAATGGTAGTGGTGGATCTCGTGATCAGTAATTTTGGCCTGGAGGACATAACTTCTTTTTCTTCAGGGGTAAAGGGAAGCACGTTCAGTCTTGACCTGGCTTCTCATTCTGTGTTTTACATCTAGGCTGCACCTATGAAGGAAACACCTACAACAGCTCCTTGGAGTGGCAGAGCCCAGCTAAGCCCTGTGTCCTGCACCAGTGCCAGGTAAAGTCCAGTAAAAACATCCCAGAGAGACTCTGAGTAGCTGCTTTGAGCCAACTGAGAGTGACACCCAAGCAGATAAACAAAAATGAGAAACAAATGCAAACCCCACTGTATCCTTGTAGTTTATTGTGACATTATCATAACAAGGCAGGTAGAGGATGGATATTGTATACGATGTTTCCAGAAACACAGCAGAATGGTCTGCCATTGTAAATTGTGCCTGGAAAGACTCCAGGAGGACGCATATGTCCTTGGGGAAAATACATGTCTTCCTGTGAAATCATCTTTGTGCAAAAGATGAATTCCTGTTAGCAGAAAGTACGTATTATTAGACAAGGTGTGTTTTTCTTCTTTGATTTAGAAAGGCTTTGAGCAGAAGCCAATCTGTAAACTGTATTAAAGTGAAACAATTAGTACACTGTATCCTCAGTGAGTTCAACCTTACAAATCTAAGAACCAGTAGCTCAGCCTCTAAGGGGCTTATTGTGCCTGATCCTCAGGGCCTCTGACAGCAGCAGGGATCCTGCATGGCTGTGATGCCCACAGGCATAGAGCACACACGATGGACCAAAGGGTCAGTGAGGAACCCAAGGTTCAGACTTGTTTTCTTGTCTCTGCAGAAATACCCCTTCTAAAAGAGTAAGTCATCTAATTTAACATTACTTAAAAATCCTCTATAGAGAAGCTACTGTTAAATCCTTTTATCCTGAACACCATTTCATTATCCCAACATTGCATGTGCATTTGAAGAAGGTTGGAAGGTGAATATTATGGATATTTCTCTCCCATCTCATCTCAAGCACATTGACATTTAGTGAATTGAAATCTGTATTTTATGACACCATGTTCTCATTAGATGCCTAGAGTAGATCTTTAGTTTTTCATTCAACTAAATATTCAGCTTATTTATGCAATGAATCTAAGTAATTTTCAAAAATAAACAGTAGTAAAATGGATATAAACAATAGATTCATTCTATTAACTAGTGATTTCTTACTATTTATTTTTTAAATTTTGTATTACTCGTACCCTTTTTGTTTTTTTCTTTTTCTCCTTAAAAAAAATAGATTCATTGAATAGATCAAAGTTTGTTGAATTTTATACTCCACATTATAAATTCAGTCAATCTGGCACAAAGAAGCAAGAACAATTACTTTTAATCACACCAGAAGCCCATAATCTTTCCAAACTTTGCACCCCTCCATATCTACTCTGTGTCCTTTTTTCCTTTCAGTATTGGACACTGAACACAGGGTCTCACACACAGTAGACAAGTATTCGACCATCCTGTTGCTGAGTACATCACTAGCCCTTTTTATTTTTTAAGACAGGATCTAAGTTGCCCACACTGTCCTCAGACTTATGGTCCCTCCATGTAATTGGGTTATAGGCATGACAACTCTTCCCAGCTTACCTTGATTTGTCTTCAGTTCATATATATTATTATTTTGCCCTGCCTCTTGGTCAGTGAAATTTCCACTCTTTAACAGGGGTATCTGAGAGCCATGGTTCTAGTATTTGGTAACCCAGAGGACCACATGCCCCTTGGGATCTGGGACGACATTCTTATAAACAGCCAGAGGTCCTGAGCAAACACAAATTGCTCAAGGTAACTTTTGCTGTCTTTAAATGACGACATTGCTTACATTAGTGGAAGCTACCATGCAACAGGAAACATTTTGTTGCCTGAAAGACACATTAGGTCATCACAGAGGTTAACACTGAGATTCCTATTGCTTGTCATCTTTAGTCACTGGCACATAACCAAGAGAGAACTGACTCAGGAGTATCAAATTATTATCTGAAAACTCAGGAAACCAGAGCTTCAGAGCAGAGCCCAAAAAGGGGGAGTCACCTGTCAAAAGATGAACCTCACCTTTCCTTCTTCTTCCTGTGCTAAAACCAGAGTCCTGCTAGCTAGGAAGGAGTTGTTTCCTTCAATAAGAAGAACAAACCTCTGTGAAGGTGGTCACAGAAAGTTGTTCCTTTGCCCACAAGCACCTTTGCATTCCTGCCTTTCTGCTTCCTTCTTTAGGAGGATGCAGAAAGTGACCATTCACAGGCACCTGCTGGCGAGTCTCCTGGTTTTTTGCAGAAATGATGAGATTGCAGTCTCTCTCCAGCTCTTCAGGAGGTGGGAGGTCAGTAACAGAGAAGACAGTGTCAGGCAGGCAGTGCAACATGGGCTATGCTGCTCACACTACTAATTATATAACCTGTCCGCACCTCTGTCACTCTCCATAAAATGGGGCCAGAATGATCTCATTGGATTGGAGTTTGCAAGTAATAAGCGAGACTCTCATTAAAAATGCTCCTGGGAGCCACCTACCTGTACAGGTACAATCAGGAACCAAACAGATGCTAGCAAGCCCAATGATCTGGTTTCTTTCCACTTGCATTTAATTCCACCTTCTTATCTTCTCCAACAAAAGGCGTTCTGGTGAAAATTTTACCTGTGTTTTCTCTCTTTCAATTTCTTGGTGGACGATGATGATTTAAAGATCACAGACAAGCACTTCACACTGAGAACCAACCTGAGCATCCATGTGGATGGAGATATTGTAGGAAAACTGACCCTAGGCCTTAGCTTTCTGCAGTCATGTAGCTGAGTGTGAGTCTTTTATTGATTCTGCTGATTGCCGATATTTTGCATTTTTCTCCCAAATGTAATCTAGGCCACAGTAAACTCCCCCGGTGGTGGAGAATTTGGACTTGGTCTGTAGACATTTAGGGTATAGCCCTTTTGCTGGGTTGGGATGACATAGTAGCAGGCGCAATAAAGGAAATGGCCTCATTGTCAAACTGTCATCTGTATTTTCAGCTTGTCGTACCCTCCATTCCAAACAAAATGAAACACATCATGTGAAAAGAAATAGACATTCATTCATAAGATGGGTAGAGAATGTAGAGCAAACTTATCAGAGACCAACACTGAAAATTAATTTTAGAATTAATTTGACATTAGGATGGTATTGGAATCCCAAGATCAGTAACTTCTTTGCAGTTTGCAAATGACTCATTCAATTTCATGTTTAAAACCTAAAGTCTGTGTTTGACATCTTCAGTAAGAACCCAGCTTTGTCCAGTCTCTGCCTTTGATGCTGCAATGGAGACTCAGGCTGTGACTGGACCTAGTGATGTTTCTAAGTCTGCAGAGCTGTCCTAGTTGTTTCTAGAAGGATGGTTGGGATTTATCTGGACTCAAAGAGCTCTGGATGCTACACAGGTCTCTGTGCTCCAGGGCTAGTGCCTTGAAGAATAAGAACAATGATAGAAAATACAGCCAACATTGAAAATGTAAAACAACTGTGAATGAGCAGCTAGACTCTTGTCAGCTACCAATGGACCATCAGAAAATTTTAAAACTCGATTTAAAAGAAAGGAAGCAGAGCCACAGAGAGAGTGCAAGGCCAGGAAAAAGAGGAAGTGATGAGGTTTGCCCTCTGAGATCCAAAGCATCAGTAGGAGTGAACAGGGGATTGTAGGTCATTTGTGCCCAGTCCTTTGGGCCCAATGCCCACCTCACCATGTACGTTATGGGTTTGGGTTCTTCTGCTTGGTTACTTTCCTGAAGTTTAGCTCCTTGACACAGTCCAGGGCTGGCTGACTGTGTGCTGTTTGTTGCAGGAGGGCGTCATGACAGAGTCTGAGGTGCGCTGTGTCGTTCACTGTAGAAACCCAGTGGAGCACCCGGGAGCCTGCTGCCCCACCTGTCCAGGTAACATCCTCAGGGAGTGGGAGGCAGAAGGCTCCTCAGCACAGGGCAAGACTGTTGAAATCTCCGTGTCCTTCAGTGGTGATGTGCAGTTCCTTTCCTCTGCTGGATTTTTCTCACTCAACCTCTATGCACCTGACAGCATTAGAGGGTGCACTCCTCTCCTTTGCAGGGTCCTGGCCTGGCTGGAACCTTTGCTCTCCCTTTTCTGAAGGGCATGGCAAGACTGTGTCTAGCATGAGGGCAGTGTGCTATAGGTCCTGGCTAGTGGCTTGTCTGGATCTGGAGGCCTGCTTTCCATTCATAGATCCAAAAGAGGCTTGTCTTTGCTTCTAGAAATGTCTTTAACACTTCGTATTGTGCTGCTTTGGTTGGAGCTTGCTGTTGTGACAAGGCAACCAGGTGTTTTCTGACAACTGAGAGCTGCGTCCCATGTGAATTTAGCTTAGGGATTTGCTGGCATTCTTTTCAGTGTGGTTCCACAAGTTGGGCCCACTGTCTTTTGTAGAAAGGCCCCTGCCTAGCTGACAGTGAAGAGCTCTTCCTTTTCCAGTGGCCAACTCTCTCCTCCCACCTTTCCTTCAGGGATTGCAGAGGCCTCCTGCAGCTCTTCTTGCTCTTTCTCACAAGTCTGGGGATTTTGAGGTGAGACATTTTTCTGATCTTTTATGCACTTGCTAATCATCGAGGGTAAGTGTTCTATGTTTGGGGTTTCGCTGAGCACTTTTCCTGACTGGTAACAGGGCAACCACTACTCTTTGCTTAGCAGGGTGATCTTGAAGCTCTGCTGTTCTTTGAGCCTCTTGTGAAGTGGTGAAAGTCCTGGGGGTCCTCTGCAGACATGAGCCCCTCCATGTGGCAGACCCAAGCCCTTTTCAGAATTCAGTCTTCTCTTGTCCTTGAATGACAAGGACAACAGTTTCCACCTCTTCTTACCTTTCTTATGTCCTACAGTCTTTTTTTTTTTTTTTTTTTTTTTGTCTTTTTCCTTTTTATCGGTACCGGGGATCGAACTCACGACTGCCTGCTTTCAAGGTAGGCGCTTATGCCGCTGAGCTAAACCCCCAGCCCCATGTCCTACAGTCTTTATTCAGCTTCCTGTCACACTGGGATATCTGTGAAGCTTGTGTGACTGATGAGCTCATATGAAAGCCAAAAAAACTGGTTATATCTACACTAATTCTTTCTGTAATCCAGTTATCTTGTATCTGTCACACAGTGCGCCCAGTCTCTTTCCCTTCTGATGCATTAAATGTTTTGTATCAGATCACCACATCCTCAGACATTGGTGGGATCTTTAAGAAGTGGATGAGTAGCTCTCTAGGGCTGCACCCTGGAATTTCCTGAGAAGCTGAGACACTGCATCTTGTACTCAGGCTGCAAGTAAGCTCAAGTCCATTAGAATTTGGGTGGGTGGGGGCACCCTGCCTCCCTGGTGATTTCCATACACAGCCAAACTGGAGATCGGTAACAGAGAAAACTTTGTCGTACAGATTTAAAGATTATCACAGCTCACAACTATAGATTCAGGTATGTTGAGCAGACAGCTGCCTTATCAATGAAGAATGAACTCAGAGCATCCCACTCATAGCCAGGGGACCCTCGAGGAGCAGGAATAGCCACAAGGAGCCCTTAAAACCCTGCACCCCTCCCTGTGGGTAACATCCTGTCACTCAGGAGAACCATGTGTCCAGCTGCCTGTGAAACATGGTACAAAAACTGCAGCGTGATTTATCTCAGCAGCTGAGCACTCCCGTGTGAGCAGTTTTCTTTACTCCATGGTTTGCTCGCGTCCCAGAAAGGAAAAGACTAAGCTCCACAGTCATGCTGAGTGGAGTCCTCATCACTGTACAGAGAGGAGTGAGATGTTGGTCACACCAGTGCCTGCCAAGTTCCTCGAGTGAGCTAGGATCAGGGGACCTGTGCTCCTCTCTCCTCTCAGCCCACTGCATACCACAGGAAGTGCTTAGCTCAGTTCTATTTTTAGAAGCTGATAAGCCAGGGCCACATGCCAGCCCTAGACACCTGGGAGGCTCCGTACCCTAAAATAGAGATCATTTGCCTCAGTTCTAAGCACAGTATTTGAGATGCAAGTGGGTAGGTTTGGAAGGTGCCGCCTGCCTGCAGAGTTCATCGCCCTTTGTCATGAGAGGCCTTCCACCAAGCCTCGATGGGACAGTCAGGAGAGGCCTCGATGGGACAGTCAGGGGAGGCCTCGATGGGACAATCAGGGGAGGCCTCAGCCTCCTCCTTGGAATCCAGGGGGACAGTGTCTGTCACCGACCAGGGCATGGCAGTGCACATGATGGTAAACAAGCCCAGTCTGTGGTCAGCTTCTTCTGGAAACTGATTTCAGAGCATTGCTTCTCCTCTGCCCCTTCCTGTCTGTCTGACTCTGCTCAAGGATGGTACATTGTCATGGGAATTTTGAACAGAATTTCCACTGAAAATGCCTTGACTCAGTGTCAGTGTAGATCGCTGTGGTTAGTGTGTCTAGCAATATGGATGACAGAGATGCAGGCACCCAAAAGGATTGGAAACACTTTGTTGGACATGTCTTTTGGAGAGAGGTGACTGAGCATCTGTCATTTATGAACAGTGTTGAGACACAACCACAGAGACCACGCTTACTGTGTCTTCCATGTCTCTGAGAGCAGGAGCAGTGCCTGGTGCTGGCTTTGGGTGTGAGTATCAGATAGATCTTATTCCTGGAGAGTTTTAAAATTCACTTTTACTTGTCTTTTTGGCTTCAGACTCAGCAGTATTTTGTCTACACATCTTTCTGTTGAATAGAGGATGGTGACCTGCTTTAAGATGGGTTAGGTGGGATGACACCCACTCCTCATGAGGAACCAGGTGCTCCGAGAGTGGGGGCTTCTGCTCACAGCTTTAGCTGATGGACTGGGGCACTTCTGTGTCCTGCACAAGAGCTCACTGTCCAGCACTGTCACAGTGACCCTGCCTCTAATCAAGTGCCTTGCAAGGACAGTCCTGGGGAAGGTAGCTTTGCTAATAAACCATAGTCACTGTGGCCCACATGACATGGAGTGAGTGTGGCCAGCCTGTACTGCAGGTCACTTGTGACATTGCTTTAGAATATGGCAGTGACTTGAGCATCTTTCTGATGAGGGGACATGTCTTGGATTTCGATCCTTTCATCACCCAGCCTTGATGGGGGCCAGAGCCCGTGATCACCACCTGGTGGGCTGCAGGCCCATGGGGTCACTGCTGCCCCCACCTCTGCGCCTTCTTATCTTTGCTCCCGCCTTGCTCCATAGTGCAGAGGGAGGCTCAGAACTGAGTTTGAATCCCAGCAGGGCCACCTGTGAGCCAGGTGAATTACTTTCCCTTAGAGCCACAGTTCTCTCATGTGTGAACAAAAGGATGGCGCCCCTGCTGTGTAAGATTGCTGGGGAAATGAGGGGGTCAGCTGCATGGGGAGATTAGTGAAAGCCCTTGGCTGCATCTGCTATTGGTCCCATGGTTGATCCCTTCTTTGCTTCCCTTATCCTATCCTGGTCCCTCTGAGGTTTGGGTCCTGGCAGTGGCCAGCATATCATGACTCCAGAGGCACAGGGTGGGGCTTCCTGCAGTGCATTTGTATTGCACCCCCAGTCTAACTTGGGCTCCTCTTAACTTTCTGGCATTGTTGGGGTTTCTGGTTCTGTGCCAGCATATCATTCTTCACATACTGTATTTTACAGTGCACCGGTGCTGTCCACTGACCAAAGAGGACACTGCTGGGTGGCTGGAGTGGAGGTGGGGCATGAGCAGGCCTGGGAGGACTGTGTCGCATGGATACTGCTCCTGCCTGATTCTGAACTCCACTCTGCTTTTTAGGCTGCGTGTTTGGAGGTGTGCAGTACCAGGAGGGAGAGGAGTTCCAGCCAGAAGGGAGCAAGTGCACCAAGTGTTCCTGCCTCGTAAGTCCTGCATGGATGTCACCATGGCCCCGGGCTCATGTTTACTTGTCCCTGAGCAGCTCTCTCAGCCTGGGCACTGCTGACACTGGGCTGAGGCTGGTGTGTGTCTTACAAGAGGTATAGGAACAGCCTGGCCTCCACCCTTGGTTTCCTTACAGCCAGAGTGGTCCACAGGCATTGCCTGGGTCCCCTGCAGAGCAACCTGGCTTCCAGCCAAGGAACACTACTCCAAAGCATGAGGGAGCATTGTCTGTGCTCCTCTGCTGGTTCCTTTTGGGGGATTCTGTGAGTTTTTGTTTCTTGGGACAGAGTCACTTCCTACTGAGGAAGCCATTGGATTTTCTGCAGTCCAATGGGAAGCAGATGGACATTCTGGTACATAGTATTCTATGGGGGTTGGGTGGAAGGAAGTCGTCTGTAAACACTGGCTGCAGGGTCGAGGAGGGATTAGTGAGGAAAGGTCACTATATAAGAGTTACTTTTATAAGCATTGTGACTTTTAATTTATATTCCAAGTTCATCCTCAGAATCTTGAGGAAGGAGAGGACCCTGGCCTGCATTGTAGTTTTACAGGGATCTTTTCATTCTGTGTTTAAGTCTGGAGTGCAATCACCGATGGCAGTGGTGGTAGTTACGGGGGTCTGGTCCTAGGCAGCGGCTCTGCATGCAAGAGTATATTTTTAATTTTTTTAAAAAGAATAAAAACAACAACAAAAATAGATATAGGGTATGAAAACAGTAAATTAACAATGGTTATTATACTACATATTGTTATTTTTTTTTTAAATTTTATTTAAGGAGAAAAGAAAAAAAAGCAGGGAAAGGGTACAAGTTATACAGATTTACAGAAAAAAATGAACAGTAGGAAATCACTAGTTAATGGATTACATATTGTTATCTTAGAAATAATTGTTCAAGTCACAAAATTAAAGCTTGTAAAGTGGACATTCCATCAATGATACTGCAAACAGTTCTGTTCATTGATCCAATAAAACTCTGTGATATCATTTTCTATCTTATACACTTAAATATACATGCAGTTATATAGTTTGGAGCACTTTCTTTTCCTCTCTTTTGTACCATGACTATTACACATTTTGGGTTTCATTGCTCCCACGGTTCTTATTACTTTTTTGGAAGAGAGTAAAACCAAATGTGACATAACAGAACAGAATCGGTCAAGTCAAAAGGGTGGACATAATAGATAATGTAAAAACATAATACAAGGTGATCAACAATGGTTCCCATAATGCCTCCCGCTATCTCTAATAGAATTGCCTATATCGTTAGTTATAATACAATTGAACAAAACAGTAAAGAATAAAACCGACAAAACCAAAACATTGGAGACATTGTAGGTCTTCAAAAGTAGATAAAAGTCAACAAGAATGGGCGTCATAATGAATCTCATTATCTTTACAGCTGATGCCTAAACTTTCGAACCTGATACTATCCAGCAAAACAGAATAGGGGAACATCAGTTAAAAACCAGATGGTGAGAGTAATACAGGGCTTTAAATCAAGGTAATGAAAAGTCAAAGTGGGTTACCATAATATATCCTGCTGTTTTTTTCCTTTAATTAAAAGGATAAAGATAAAAAAGTAAATAATGGAGTGGAGATTGAGATAAAAGAGGGCATAACAACGAAACAGCGCAGATCAAAACATAACCATTTAAGCAGAATAGTGTTTCACCACCAGATAATCCTAACCTAAAAGTAGTTACCGTATTGTCTCTTTCTTTGAAATCCTTGAGTACAACTTCGTATACATATTGTTATTTTCAAAATAGTTGCTCAGATTACCAGACGTAGGCATGCAAAACCAATTAAACAGTATAAGCACTAACTATTCCTTTGCATGAACTATTAGAATTAGTAGAAGAATTATTTTAGCATATATATATATATATATATATATATATATATATATATATATATCCCTTCCTTCTTTTCTGCTTTTCCCTGCCCTAATTATTCTTTGCTTTTGAGGAGCTTCTTTCCCTTCACAATATCTATTGTATTTTAGATCTCATTTACTCTTTCAGTTTCTTACACTAAAGAGTCAATACTATGTTTAGCACATTTGAGTCTGATTTATTTCACTTAGGAGTATGGTCTTTAGTTGCATCCATTTATCTAAAAAAGTCTTGAGTTTATCTTTCTTTTTAGCTGAGTAGTAATACATTGCATAAAAATATGACATATTTTTATCCATTTCTTGGTTAATGAGAATTTGAGTCATTTCCAAGATCTAGCTATTACAAATTGTGCTGCCATAAACATGCAGGCACATAAATCACTATGAGATGATATTTTTAATTATTCTGGGAAAATACCCAGAAGAGAAATAGCTCGGTCAAATTGGATCTTTGATTATAGTTTTGAGGAAATTCCATACTGATTTCTACAGTGGTAGCACCAGTCTGCACTTCCACTAACAGTGGACAACGATTCCCTTTTCCCAACAGCCCCATTTGTTATTGATTGACTTTTTTTGATGATAGCCATTCTTTCTTGTGTGAGATGGAATCTCAGTATTGGTTTAATTTGCATTTCTCAAATTAACAATGATGTTGAACATCTTTTCATATATTTGTTTGCCATTTGTATTTCTTCATCTGAGAAGTATATGTTCATCTCAAATGCCCATTTTTGGATTGGGTCATTGAATTTAAAAAAAATTAATTTAAAGAGCTAAAAAAAAGCAAAACAGAAAAAAAAGAGAAGCAATAATACAAAATTCAAAAAAAAACCACTAAGAAATCACAAGTTGACAAATTACATACTGTCATCTTAGAAATAATTGTTCAAGTTACAAAATTAAAGCACACAAAGTTCTACTCAATGATCCAACAAATACTTAGTAATACGCTTATCAATCCTACACACTTAAACACACATGCAGTTATGTTTTTTAGAGCACTTTCTTTTCGTCTCCTTTTGACAATAGCAGTTGCACATTTTGGGTTTTATTACTCCTACAGTTCTTACTACTTTTTACACTAGAGACACAATGTGATATTTATAAATATGATTCTTATTTATTTCACTTATGAGGATAGTCTCAAGTTGCCTCCATTTCAATATGAAGACCTCAAGATCATCCTTTTTACAGCTGAGTAATATTCCATTGTATAAAAATACATCTTTTTCATCTACTGTGTGGTTGGTGGGCATTTTGGTTGTTTCCAAGATTTAGCTATTACAAATTGTGCTGTTATGAACATGGGTGCACATGTATCACTATGACATGACCTTTTCTGTTTTTCTGGGAAAATACGCAGGAGGGGAATAGCTGGGTTGAATGGAACTTCCAATTCTAGTCTTCTGTGAAATCTCCATAGTGATTTCCATAGTGGCTACACCACTCTTCACTCTCATATAATAGTTTTGGGAGTATAGCCATTTTTCACAGTGTTGGTTCTTCCTAGCTAACAGCAGGGAATACCCTTCCATTTTTAGTATCCTCTTCAATCTCCTTTGTTAGCATAGCATAATTTTCAGCATATAGGTCTTTTATATTCTTTGTTAGGCTGATTCGTAAGTATTTCATTTTTTTAGATGCTATTGTGAAGGGCAATACTGCCATAATTTCTCTCTTGGTGAACTTTTTGTTTGTGTACAGGAATGCTATTGATTTTTGAGTACTGACTTGGTATCCAGCTACACTGCTGAATTTATTACCTCTAGTAATCTTTTAACGGAGTTTTTTTGGGTCTTCTATATAGGGTATCATGTCATCTGCAAGTAGTGATAATTTAACTTGCTTTCCTATCTTTATTCCTTTTATTTCGTTGTCTTATCTGATTGCCCTGGCTAGTGTTTCCAGAACTATATTGAATAGGAGTGGTGATAGTGGACATCCTTGTCTTGCTCCTGATCTTAAAGTGAATGCTTTCAGTTTTTGTCCATTTAGTATAATGTTGGCTGTTGCTTTGTCGTAGATGGCCTTTATGAGATTGAGGTAGACACTATGTATTCCGAGTTTCTGAAGCATTTTTATCATGAACATGTGTTGGACTTTATCGAATGCTTTTTCTGCATCTATTGAGATGACCATGTGGTTTTTGGTTTTGGCTCTGTTGATGTGGTATATTACATTTATTGACTTGCATATGATAAATGGCCCCTGCTTTCCTGGAATAAATCCCACTTTGTCATATTGTGTAATCTTCTTCATGATTTGCTGCATTCTATTTGCCAGTATTTTATTGAGAATCTTTGCATCATTATTCATTAGTGAGATTGGCCTATTGTTCTCCTTTTTGGTTGGGTCTTTCTCTGGTTTTGGTATGAGAGTGATACTTGTCTCTGGGAATGTTTTAGGGAGGATTGCTTCCTTTTCAATTTCATTGAAGAGTTTAAGGAGTATTGGCATCAAATCTTCTCTAAATTTCTTGTAGAATTCAGCCATGAATCCATCAGGACCTGGGCTTTTCTTTGTTGAAAAGTTTTTAATTATGTTTTCAATTTCAATAGCTGATATTGGGTTATTTAAAATTGCTATATCTTCTTGGTTGAGCTTTGGTAGCTCATATGTTTCAAGAAATCTGTCCATTTCCTCTGTGTGAGTAGAGATTTTCAAAGTAGGTATTCATGATCTTTTGAATTCCCATGGGATCTGTTGTAATTGCCCCCTTTTCTGTCCTTACTGCGTGAATTTGGATTTTTCTTTCTTTTTTCTTTATGAGGTTAGCTAGAAGTTTGTCAATTTTGTTTATTATCTCAAAAAACAGCTTTTTGGTTCATTAATTCTTTGTATTTTTTTTTAGTTTCAATTGCATTGATTTCTGCTCCAATCTTTACAATTTTCTCTCTTCTATGAGCTGTGGGTTTAACTTGCTCTTTTTTTTTAGAAGACTGAGATGAAGCATTAGATTGTTTATTTGTGCTCGTTCTGTTTTCTTGATTTGACAATTTATTGCTATATATTTCCCTCTTAAGACCACTTTCATTGCATCACACAGGTTACAGTATGTTGTTTCTGCATTCTCATTG